TAATAATAATATTACCTAATAAGTAACGTGGATAAATTTACCATAATTGAGAGGAAAGTAGGAAAGAGGAATTCTACCCTTCAATTCCCCCCTATTTCCTTTCCCTTCCCTCAATTGGAGAGAGAAGTTAATAAATTAAAAAATAATAATAAAATAAAGGATTTTATTTTTACCTTCCCTCTTCTTTAATTTTTTTAATAACTAAATAAAGGAATTACTTCTCCTTCCTTTTCCTTTCATTCTCATCAATCTAAACATACTAATAAAAATGATGGAAGTTTTTTACCATTTTGTTCTTAAGTGCAATAAATTAAATTAAACTTAGAACCAATTTGTTGACGTTAATGTGTTTGAGACCTTTGGATTTAAGCCCAGAGCTTAAGTCTAAATTATTTCAAGCTATAACAGATTTGGACTGACATAGAAGAACTATTATTTTAGAATTTGGATACCATAATTGAGTATTTTATTAATATTTTAGTGGAGTTACTTTTCTAATTACTTAAAAATTAGATTTTTTTTAATACTAAAATCAGTATTTTTTTTAATTAAAATGTGTATTTTGTTTTAATATAACATGTAAGACAGTTACATTCTTCCATTAAAAGATATCTTACCTTACTTGTTGAGACTTAGATTAACAGTCTAAATAATTTATTAGTTATTTTTTTAAGTGAAGTAAAAAATATTAAATTTGAATTGTGAAGGCACCGGTAAGGATATCAATGGAGCCCGGCGAGGCTGGGGAGTCCCCTCGTTCTCATCCCCATGAATGGCGGGGATGGGGATACCTGCAGGGATCTTTTACGAGGGGCAAATTTTGCCCCCATTCCTCACAATTAATATTTAAATATATATTTTTTTACATCAAACATAAATAAAAATTAATTTAACATAAATAATTAAATTAATAAACTTGTTTTAAATATAAATAAAGATTAATCAAATATAAGTTGTTTGAATTGGTGGTGGAGCTTGAAATGATCAACCAACACACACTTTGTTCTTGTGTATTAGACATTTATCACTTAAAAATAAAATAAAAACAAATAGTTATGACTTTACATTGAAATATAAAATAAACTTTGAACTTTTCTCTAGTTAATTGAAATTCTTCCCTTTCACAATTTCACTAGAATTCATAGTAAAATCTAAAAATTAAATAGATAGGCAAGCATTTACAGTTTTCTCAATTTTTTGATTTTACTGAGAAGCTACTACACTTTTTTATGTTATATGTGTATCAGTATATGTAAAGAAATTAACTAAGCAATTCATTAATAGAAATTGCTATGAGCAATCAATGAATCTAGCAAATTCTAGAAAATCTAGACTTTCGCTATGTTAAATCAATCCACAAACAAATTATTTAAACTTCTTACAGTTTGGATTTGTAGCTTGTAGCCGTAAGTGGAGTGGTCTGACAGTAGAGACAGTTCAACAGCTTAGTAGTAGTTGCAGAGGCAGTTTAGTAGTCCACAGATTGACTTTGACTTTGAGAAGCAACAGCAACAACGAAGAAGCAACAACAATAGTGAAGTAGCAGTAGTCCAAACTCCAGACATATTTGGTTCAACAGCAGTAGTCCAAACTCCAGATGGATTCGGTTCGACAATAGTAATGGATTCGAGGTAAAAGGGTGAGATGTGAAATAGAGAAGGGTAGAAAGGCGACAACGAAGGGAATCAAGGGATTTAAGGTTTGAGATTCGTAGGGGAGGGCCAAAGGGGAAGGTCGAAGGTGACCTAGGTGAAAGATAGAGAGAGTCCAAGAGTGAGAGGCAGAGACAGTGTGAGAACTGGAGAATGAATAAGGTTACTTAAGGTTTAAAAGATTGGGTTGAGTTGGGTTGGATTGGAAAAAATTGGGTAAATTTTTATTGAATCGGGTTTGGGTTTGGGTTTGGGCTTGAAAATTATATTAAATTTAAAATAAAATTAATTTATATATATTTTTTAAAATTTTCACAGGGATGAGGATCCTCGTAGAGTCCCACGGGACAGGGAAAATTCCCTGTGAAATTGCCCTTTGTCCCTGTCTTGCGGGGAGGAATATTCCTCCTTGCTCTGTCCCCTAGCAGGGATCCCCATGTGGCCCTGCGGGAATCGAGACAAATTGCCACCTCCATGTGCAAGTAGGGTAAGTGAAGAATGAGAGAAGATTATCTTTTACCATACAATCTAAATATATATATATTTTTTAATGTCAAGACTTGGGAGCATTGGTTTTGATTTCCAAGCAACCATAGGAGCATTGCTTTCGGTCATTTTGGAACATAGAAGTAGCATTACTCTCTTTGTTGCGCTTGTGCCTGAAAATTAACTGAAATGCGAGGCAAGTTATTTTCCTTTAAAAATTGGAGTTCAAATTGTTCTTTTCAAAAAGTTGAAGGGCTTGTCCGATCAAAAAAAAAAGAGGGATAAAATCTTTAAACCGGTGAAAGTCAAGGGGCTTAAATAATAGTTCGTCTTCAAAGAGATTTCTTGTGTGAAAAATTGGGCCGGAGCCCAAGTTCTCATACCAAGGCCTAGCACGCGAGAGTTACTCCAAAATGAGCAGAGTTTGGGATGTTCAAAAATAAACTGATGAGGCCCACCAGCCCCAAAAAATAGAACTGATATAGGCCCAGTTACAGAGGTACTGCACTGCGGCCCGCCTTTTCTACATGTGTAGATCCATTTTGAGATACATCTTCCTTCTCCAGCCATTCTCTTTGTAAAGAAGAAAAATGGTCTCTCAAAAAGTTATGCCTCCATTCACTCTTTTCTGTTCTTTACCAAACTAATTCTTTACTTGTTTTGTTGTTTTAATGTTTTACTTTGCTATATGGCTATTGTTGTGCTCTTGTTTGAAAGGTAGGAAATTTAAATTTCACATTGAATGTGTGGCTTTGTTGCTACCTAAATTTGTCCAGCACGAACAACTTTCAGAACTAATCTAGGGAAGGCCTTGCAGTAGACATAAAGAGATGAAGCATAACAAAGAGAAATGTAGAATGAGTAAGTACCTTATTGGGTTGGGAGATATTTAGGGACCTATTCGATCACTTTTCAGAGTGTCACCCCTTTAGTAGTGCTTTGCAATGTTGTAAAAGGTGCTAAGCAAGTGTTAGATCGCACAATAGAGAGAGAAAATTACAATTAATTCCTTTCATTCAAGTATTCATTAATTTGTATTACATAATATTTTTCCTCTTTTTTTTTTTTAAAAAAAAAACTCATATAGCATTATTTTCAAGTTAATTTAGAGATTCAATCTTTATCAAATATTTATAGAATATATTTTCATTTATAATTTGTTTGGTATGAGACAGAGGGGTGATGAGTTAGATTTCCCTCCATCTTCATTTTCCTCAAACTAAATAGGTATACTATGTTCTACAACCTCCACATCTATGTTTAATTGCACTAACACAACTCAAACTAAATAATTTTATTCGTCTTCATCAAGACTTAACATCTCAAATGAACTGGAACAAGAACGACAGTTCTCATAACCAAATCTTAAGACAATTTTTTTAACCATTGATCATGTAAGCACACATGACACCCTTCACCATGATCAATGATTGTTATAAATTTGTCCTAAATTTTGGGTCCAAAAATTAGTCCTAACTACCATCATTCGCGGAGCAGAATGAAAATTCCGAAAGAAAGCTCTTTTATCAAGCATGGCTAACTTTCCATGGTCTTCAAGGGAACTTAGAATTGTCCCCACAACAAACTCCATACCAAATGAGCAAAGGGAAATATGATACTAATAAACAGTGAAACCATTCTTATTGGTAGCGTTAAAACTCTCAATCATGCCTAGAGAGGTAGCGTTAAAACTCTCAATCATGCCTAGAGAGGGTTAAGCTGTGAAGAAGAATTTCAACAACAAACGTTTTAGGTTGAGGACTGGGAGTCTGGGACCTAGATTGGTTTCACCCAGATACGACAATCAGTGTAATGGAAGCGGTAAAACAGTTCGGGAAACCGTATGTATATCTGGACTGAATCGAACAAACAAATTAAATTGCCACTTTACAATCAAATAATCATGATGAAGACGAGATGAAAAGATTATGACAATTTGTCATTACATGGGAGATCATCTAAAATTATCGCCATCATAATTGCATAATTTGTCGTGACCAATAAACAAACAGTTCATAAAGGAAAGGACAATAAAGACCCTGCAAATCCTGCGTACATGCTGAAATACAGGGGAGATAGCATAACTAACAGTGATGAAAAGGACTTCTTTATATAGCTGCATTATGTCTGTATATAAGGACCACAAACTGAATCAGTGAAATAATTACCGCCTTAAGCTCTCCACTATGTAGTCTGCATAGAGATTCCTGCAAAACAGTTGATGATGATGGTTATAAATGAGATTAAAATGCTATCAAAGCTGTTGAAGACCATGCATGCACCAGCTAATGCACATTATAGATTGAAAAAATTAGGCATATCAGCCCAAGTAGGTCACTTAAGCTCCTGGCATCTATATGAAGCAGTTGTCTGGAAATATGTGGATATCAAACTATGTTCAGACTGGTGATAAAACTTATATTAAACAATAGTAGTATGGTAGAACTAGAAGCATAATATGATCTAAAAGAATGTTTGATAGATGTCAAACCTACATGTATCAATAGAGTTTGGGAAAGGAGACCATCACTTACATAGAGTACTGGATTGCATCATAAGCAGCACTGGCTGGCAGAAAGTCGTTAACCGCGACCTCCTTGTTCTCATTTTTCTTGTCTGAGTATGTTATTAAGGGAAACATTTGACAATTTAATGTCAAATGCTTAAAAGAAATGAAGCACTTGCATATGCCATGTGCCTGCTAACAAAATAAAAATTTTGGAAAGGATACAGTCTTCAAAGAAACGGCGAATCTCAGCCAAACGATGTGGTGGAAGATCCTTGATATCAGTGTAGTGTCGATACTCAGGATCATCAGCACAGACAGCAATTATCTTGTCATCTTTCTCACCCTATATTCATAAAACGTCAAAAATGTCTGCTATTTCTTTTTAAAAAATTATACAAGAGTAGAGAGCAACACATGTATACCTGATCAATCATAGGCATAAGGCCTATAGCTCTAGCCCGAAGGAAGCATCCCGGGAGAACTGGTTCCTGCATGTTTATGTCGTTCAATACACAGGAATTGCCTTTCAAATTTTGAAGAATATTTAGAAATATGTACAATACAAATGTGATTTTCAATATTCCAAGAATAACCCTCAGTAAACCAACCAGCACTTGTACAACCAATATAATACTATTGAATATTGATCTCTACTGACAGTTGGACCATATCTGATCTAAATTATAACCCCATTGTCACTTATCCAAAGGATTTCCTATGCAGTGGTGCAAGTTATTCTACATGAACAAGACTTCCAAACATACTACATGCACATAAACATGGCAAAAAAAATGAGATTTTTTTATTAAATGTACCAATCAACAAACCTGCATAATAACAAGGACATCCATGGGATCATTATCTTCACAGAGAGTACGGGGGATGAAACCATAGTTGTGAGGGTACACAACTGACGAGTAAAGCACACGATCAACCTACGTTACAGCAATCAATCAGTAAGCAATTTCAAAATCATGTCGTAGCAAACACATGGAAGCCTGCACAAGGACAATGGGTACCTTGATCAGTCCAGTTTTCTTGTCAAGTTCATATTTCACCTTGCTTCCTTTTGCAATTTCAACAACCTATAAAATGACAGAATTCTGTTGTATCAATGATTGAACCTTAAACGATTCAAGAATGTACGGTCATTCATTTTTGAAAATTTTGCTCATATTGAATTCTTTCTTATTTGAAGAAGAGTCAAGATCTGATCAATGTCTTAAATAAATATGTACCATGATAATTGAGACTATAGACATTTGATAGGGACAAGACTGAACTTTCAATCATAATAAGTGATTTTAGATGTAGGAACTTTAGCACATTCATATGAATGATAAATCAAAAAAGCCAAAGCAGCATTAAGGAAAGAAAGAAATGTATTAGAGATCCAAAGTTAGTTTACAAAGCATGTATTCACAACTGTTGCAAACATAAGCGATAAAAAGTTTGACATTTTAATGCTCATCCTTCGATAGAATATGCTATTACTAGAATATGACATAAACACCAGCTAAACTCTGGCTTACTGAATGTAAATGTTACTGATTCATATGTAGAGTTTAGAATCCTTACACAGTTGAAAACCACTGGAGCTCCTGGTCCTGTGTTCAGAAGACAAAAACATAATAAATAAGGTTTACATCATGCTTGAAACCATAAACAATCAAGAAGTAAAATGTATGGCTTCTGTCAATAGCCTACCAATCTCAAGATCATGCCATGGATGTGCAGCAACAGACCTCCTGGTCATGGAAGAAAGTATCCTTTCGTTCAGAGGGGGATGTGAAGAATGGTGAGATTCAGGGGCTTTGGTTGGAGTCTCAATTGGTGGAGCCATAACTGTAATTGTAAACAAAACATAAAAAATAAAAAAAAATGCAGTGTCTATTGGATCATGAAATGAAAATGTATATCATATAAACCATAAAGCACGTTGCGAGCAACTTTTATCAACTGGACAGCAGCCAGAGAGATACCAATCATATTTGTCAAAGCATAAGAAAACCACGCTTAATTTAGATTTGAGTTTTTGGGTAAACCTTTTGCTCCAAAAGCTCAAAAATAGCGTTTAGTTGATTTTGTTAGCGAATATAAGAGCAAATTAAAATGCTGATTAAACTTTGGTGTGAACACCTGCTTCAAATAGAACATTTGTAAAATCTGAGAGACAAATAGAAAAAATCTGCAATACCACAACTGTCCATTTCCGTAGGACAACGTTGGTGAAGTATTTACACAAGTAAGCACAGATCAGTCAGATTTTAACCAAATGATCTCAGAGAAGAGCTCGCGCTCACTGATTCTTGGAAAAATCTGTGTATCAAATGAATCAAACAAAACAAACACAGATCTCAACACTTCAACACGTATTCCAGGCACACACAGGCAGCAAAATCCACCAAAACAGAGAGAAAACAGAGAGAAAATTGACCAATACTGGTTCAAAATCATAGCAGAAAATTTCCGGTGACACATACACAAAAGGAGAAAAACAAAACCAGATCCAGAAACAGAATAAGCATGAGATTAAAACCAGTAAAAAGCGAAACAAAACTCCAAAAATCAACGATGTAAGCGTTAAACAACGAATTCAGAAACGTACCTTAAACGGTTCGAGTGTTGCGAAATGAAAAACTGAAGGAAACGCGCAGATCTCAAAAACGAGAAAAGCAGAGACGGAGAGAAGGGGAAAAGCAAAAGTAGAGAAGTGTTGGCGAAGGTAAATGAAGACCTAATGGGCGCTTAAGTAGAGGAGAACGGAGAGCAGAGAGCTGTACGTGTTCCCGCTCTCTTTATTCTTGCCCTTTAAAGGCGCACCGCAAAGGGGAAGATGAAATGAATATTCGGTCCCTTATTAAAATAAAGATAAAATGTAAAACGAAAAATCCTTGGGTTTCAATGCGGTGAAAAAATTTGCACGGGGAATGGAATCCCGCATATTCGGAGGACCGAAAGAATAAATCGTGATTCACTGGTTCAGGTTCTGATTGGAAAAAACAAAAAAAAATATAATATAGTGTAATATTATAAATTTATAATATAAAATATTAATATATAATTGATTTATTTTTTAGATATTTATTTATTAAAAAAATAAAAATTAAAATATCTTAACATTAAAATATTTATTATAATCATTTATTAAGTAGATTTTTAACTGGATTCACTTAATATTAATTGTGATGGGACATCCTAATTTTTTAAATTCTTTTTATTTATAATATCATATTTATATATTTATTTAATATTAAATTATAATTATTTAATATTATTTTATAATTATAAATATATAATTATATATTATATTATAATTTAAATTTACAATAATACATACTTGACATTATAACTATATATTGTTGTTAGATAAAAAAATAAACGCGTGGTTCCAGCTGGGAATCGGTGTAACGCGTCATGTGCTGGGTGGTTGCTTAAGAAGAAAAGGTAAACCCACTTTGGACAAAGACGGAGTTCCCAACGGTTGTGCCGTCGTAGGGGTTCGGTCCAAAAACGTAATCGTGGATTGGACGGTGTGGAGTCACAGTTACGGATTCCTTTTCTCCGGAGATTTTGGATTGTCAAGGAAGGGTAAACAAATAAACAGAGGAGCCGTGTGGAAGGCAGGTTTTCCCTTTTTTTTTTTTCTTTTTTCTTTTTTTTTTTCTTTTTTCAATGGGGGTGTGGCAAGTTGATCACTTGAGATTATTAGTTACGAATATAATTCATTAACAATAATAGTGGTCAGACCATATTGGATGTGATTGGTAGTTACGAATATAATTCATTATTAATAATAATATGATACTAATAATTTTCATTGATCTAGTTGTATCTTGATGCTTGTTTTAATACATTTTAGTGATTAAAGGTTTA